ATGTTTCTGGACCATTCTGTGCTGCACAAGAGAGCCACACTGGAACAATCATTGAAGTGCAACTACTGTTGCCCACTCTCACACTGCATGAGAGAGTGGAAGCACTTTCCTCTTCTGGTGGCGTTTCAGGTTTTTCATCTTGAGGACGTTCTTCGTGCAGTGGAGCAGGGTGGTTTCGCCTGCAAATATTGCAAGTGGCTCTCTGACGACAGTTTTTGGAGATATGGCCAACTCTGAGGCAACCAAAGCACATATTGTTGTCAATGATAAATTTTCTCCTTGCTTCCAGAGGCATTGCTGCAAATTTTTCACATTTATATATGAAATGATGTTGTTGGCAGCAGATACATTCAATTGGCCTTTTATTCAGAGTTGCAGAAGATCCAGGTTTGGAACCTTTGTCACCCTGTGATGTACCAGTAGCCTTTGAAGTGGCCTTTGGATTTTTGGACACCTTTGTAGATGTAGCCATAACGCTGGTCTTGAAACGTTTCTGTTCCTTCTCAGGTTTATCACACGTGTGCTTTAATGCATACAGGGAGGAAACCGGATTGCATGCTACGCGTGCCTCTTCAGCCACAAAGTCTGCAAATTCTGTGAAACTTGGATATGCCTTCCCCTCATCCAGTGTCTTAGTGACATACCGGTTCCAACGGACTGTTGCCCAGTCAGGAAGTTTCAGCAGTAATTTTTGGTTTTCTTCACAATCATCTAAAACCCTGAGACCTTGCACATGGGGCATTGCATTCTTACAAGAGATGAGAAAATCACTAAACTCCCTTAATTTGATTGATTCCTTAGGTCCAATCCTTTGCCAGCTGCTCAGTTTTCCCCGGAATGCTCTTTGAACTACAAAGGGGTGACCATAGCGCTTGTTTAAGGCATCCCAAGCCTGTGTGTAGGCTTCCTCGTCACTTCGATAAAACGTTCCTTCTAACACACAAAGTGCTTCTCCACTTATGTATTTTTTCAAGTAGAACAGCTTATGTGCTGGATTTGTACAACTTGTTTCTATTAGAGCCTTAAAGATGGTACTCCACTCAATGAATTTAAGTGGGTCTCCTGTAAACACGAACGGTTCTGGTGCTGGAAGTCTAGTCACTGCTAAGGATTCCTTCAATGCTTGAACTAATGAGACTTCGCTTTCCTTTGGCTCTACTTTCTTTTCAGAGTAGTTAGGAACTGGAACACTTTGAGGGATCTGTTGGTATTTACTGTCAGAGCACGGAGGGGCAAATGTGCTGTTATGCTGCATTGAAAGCCGAGTTGGAGGCAAAATGCCTTTTACTTCAGTATCTCTTATTTCAGCATTCAATTTTGATTCCTCTTCAGCATACACATTATATTCAGCCTCTATGGCTTCAAGGTCCCTTTGGTTTTCCAGCATTTTTAGCTTCTCTTGCTGAGCTAGTACCTCCTTTCTCTGAGTGGAGATTTCCATTTCCCTGTTTATTTCAGCCCATTTTGATGCCAAACGTGCAGCTGCGTCCGCCTTCTTTGAAGATACATGACTTCCTTGCTGACTATGACTTTGCTGACTACTTTGTCCAGCTCTAGACACAGTTGATCCATAAATTGACTTTGCATCTTCTCTTTGGAGTAACTGCAGGAGTGATTCTTTCACAGCCACTGCATCAAACTCCTTGGTGTCAACATCTGCATACCGCCTTTTTAGGAGTACAGTTATTTCAGTGGTAACTGAAGTGCAGCTATCCATTTTTCTTCTTATATCTTGAGATGGCGTGGTCAGTGCCCGTAAACTCTCATATTCTTGCTTTAGTTCTGACTCACATTTTTCGACTGATCTGATCATTTCACCTAACTCAGCTTTCAAGCGTTCTTCCTTAAGTTTAGATCTAATCAGTTGAACCTCTGCTTTGAAGTTTACATACGTTGACATAAACTTTCTTTCCTTTCTAGTTATTTCATTATTTTTGAACTCAAGCATTTTTTCTGTGGGATGTTTTTCCCTTTCTGATCGCCTCACCTCTGTTTCAACTTGAGTTGGTGGCTGTGGTAACCCTATCTTGTGTATTTCAAGATCTGCGCAAATTTCGCCTATGCGTGTCTCGATTTCTTGTCTTTCTGAGTCTTCAAGTTCAGTTTTTAATTGCTCTTCTAACTGTGCCTTCTCGTCTTCTAGAGCTTTAAGTACTTGCTCTAATACACGAGTTTCTGATGTACTCTGCTCCATTTTCAAACAACTTGAACTCTAACGCTAACACCTCTGCTATACTAAAATGAAAGGAAACTTAACGAAACAACCAGAAGAGTAGACAATTATCAAACACATTACACACTTCCATTAAAATTACATTTTCAGAACACAATTTTTACCTTACTCTTTTTTCACTTTTTTGTATAACATTAACTTAGAAATGACCTATATGTTTCCACACTTGAAAGATACAGTCTGACCTGGTATCCCAAAGGCGTTGTGACTTCTTGCAAAACTGCGCTGTCCTTAAATGTTGCTTTAGTCCCACTTCAGTTGAGCTGGATTAAGCAACTGTAGCTCGGATGTGAAGCTGATGCAGGAATATGCAGGTAAATCTTCCGTGTGGGCTGCTGTAATGAAGT